AAAAGCTCAGTGCAGGACTTCCTGCTCAGATGACCCTGGTTGGCTGTTTTCTGAAGATGATTCAGGGATCTGAGTACCTTTTATTTTGTGGCTTTGCTATCTTCAACATATAACCCCAAATGTGGCTGTGGTGCTTGAGTCTATTTTAGTCAATTGCAAAGATTAAACTATGGTACATCACATGGAGATGTTTTCATAGGCCCAGATGTTATAGGACAAAAATCTCTTTCAACCAAATTAACTTGGGCTGGGTTTATTCTCATAGGATTCTAAGATGAAAAGAAATTGTGAAAGGGAGTCCAGTTGGGTGATTAGTGGGAAAAGGAGGCAAGTTCTTTGAATAAGATTAATCTTCATTTTTATAATATTTGTACGAATGCAATGTTGAGGGGAAAAAAATGTTTTTGCTATCATACTCTATTAAAACATCTGTTCCAAAATCTGATTCCAGAATTCAAATTCAGGGAAGTGGACACAGATGTCCTTCATTAGAGTTTATGGCATCATTGACTGTTTGAAAGAAGTATTTAAATTGGGTCCCAAAGGCATTGGCTAAAGTTTAAAAAAGGCCAAGAATATGGGAATAAGGCCTTGGATCACTTGTAATATTGAAATTCTTTCTTTATTGTCTGAAGAGACAAGGAAACTATGCCAGGTATCTCTGCAGGTACTTGAAGACCACTGAAAGAAAAGTGGAGCGTGAGTCTTCCATTTGTCCAAGTCATTATTTCTCATTCAGATATTCTAATTATTAAACACTGAAACTTGAAAATGATTCTACAATCAATTGGCTGTTCTTTCTTTGAATATTACGCATAATTTTCAGTGAAAACTCCCCATGAAGAACCTTGAAGAATTTACAAAATATCTTTTATTTTCCTTTCAAATTATGTATCTAAGATGTATTGGTATTATTCTTTCCTCTAGTATTATAGTGATTACTCTTTTTCATGAATATTGACTGAGCACCTGAAATGATAGGGACTGGGCAAAGGTGCCAGGGAACAAGTTTGGATAAGATTCTGTCTCCGCCCATAAATATCCTGTGGACCCCTGGTAACCATTCTAAAGAGAAGATGGCTCAGATAACTGAATGTGACATCTCTGACAGCTAAAAGAATTATAACCATGCATAAAGAAGAATAACACTGCCAGGCAAAAACATCTGACCAAAGACACAAAACCCAAAATCTTGGTTTTTCCACCTGAAGTGTCACTTTGAATACTACATGCCACATTTTGGAAATCAAACAGAAATGGGCCCCATTATCACATGGAAAATGGATAGAGATAACAAGAAGCAAATAATCATCCATTTATTTTTTGTGTGAGGAGAATCTTTTTTAAAAAATCACTGAATATGACTACATAATTATCACATTATTTAAGACACACCAAAAAAAAAATGAAAGGCCAAATGGAAGGAACAAAGGCATAGTTTTCTCCAATTCTATGCCCATTTTTACCAGGCATCTTTCCACCTAGGCAAACACATTCTTTTTTCCAACACCTTTTCTTTAGTTCACTACATATATTGCCCATCATGTTTGCCCAGTTTCTCAAAACAAGTGGTAAAATTAACTCAGCAGCAAACTCTGCTGGCCTGCAACATAAATGGCATCAACCAGCTGGCAAGTCAGGTAACTCAGAGACTTTGGCATCACAGTCCTCCTTCTATAATGCACTTGACTCTTCTCATTTCTCCAGAGTACCTCCATTCCCACCTTCAATCCCTTTAGTGAGCCCTTCTAGATATGGTCTCCCTGAGCGCTGAGCATTAGCTCATTGGTTTAGTTCTGACTTAGCTCATGTCTCTAGCTCGTCATGACTTATCTTAGACTTGTGCTAAGATAACATCGAAAGCCTTAAGGATATTTGAATAAAAGGATAGAAATATACAGAGTTTTACAGAGTTGTTTATGAATATATTACTAGGGTGAACAAAGAATTTTGCAACTACATTCAAGTTTATGAATATGTGTTCTCAAGAAAACAAAACTAGTATATAACATGTAAATAAATTGGGGGCCATCTTCATTATAATGTAACATATCAGGCATAGACAAATAGGGTTTTTCAGTGAAAGAGAGGGTGAAGGAGCTGAGAAGAAAGACCATGGCTTTCTTTATATAGGGCTCTACTAAGAAAACATTCATCAGGGTCTAGAAAACAGCTCTAATTCTTATGGCCAGAAATAATTCCCAGGGAGCATGTAAGAACTGAGGATTTAGAGTCAGATGTTTTGAGTTCCAACTGTGGCTCCACAGCTCAATAGCTCCCTGTGCTTCTGTGTATTCCTTTTGTAAAAGGGGACAATAGTACAACCTGTCAGTGTCTGCTTTGGCCACTGATGTCTCTAGCAACTAAACAGGGATGGGCACATAGTAGATGTTCAATAAATATGAAAAATGAGTGTATTTCTCTTTGAATGAAGTGAAAATAGTTTTTGTAAGTGCTAAGAACAATATCTGATTGATAAGAAATACGATATAATTTAGTAATTTTTTATTCTTCTTATTAGTGTTATCATTATTGTCCTTTTTATTTAGTCAAGATAAGTTTCCTTTGAAATCATCTATTTCCTGGCTTCTTATTAAAGAGGTACATTAGAGTTCTCTAGAGGGACAGAATTATTTAATTGGATACATTTATATATAAAAAGGAGTTTATTAAGGAGAATTGACTCACATGACCACAAGGTAAAGTCCTACCATAGGCAGTCTGCAGGTTGAGGAGCAAGGAAGCCAGTGGTGGATCAGTTCAAGTCCCAAAACCTCAAAAATAGAGAAGTCACCAGTACAGCCTTTAGTGTGTGGCCAAAGGCCTGAGAGCCCCTAGAAAATCACTGGTGTAAGTCCAAGAATCCAAAAGCTGAAGAACTTAGAGCTGATTTTGAGGACAGGAAGCATCCATCATGGGAGAAAGATGAAGGCCAGAAGACTAAGCAAGTCTCCTCTTCCATCTTCTACTACCTGCTTCATTCTAGCCATACTGGCAGCTGATTAGATGGTGCCCACCATGATTGACAGTGGGTCTGCCTCTCACAGTCCACTGGCTCAAATATTAATCTCCTTTGGCAATACCCTCACAGACACACCTAGGAACAATACTTTGAATCCTTCAATTCAATCAAGTTGACACTCAGTATTAAACATTACAACATACAACATAAAAAATACTGATCTTCGGAGTTTATCTATCTACTAGTAGAGAACTTGAGACAGTTATACTTGTCCATTCTACAGTGAGAATATTGTGCTCTCACACATTTGCCTTCCTAGTGCACAATGTCTTATGTTTGGTTCATCACCCTCAACTGTCTAGTAAGGCGAATTCACTAAAGCTGCAAACACCCCCCTGGACCAATAATGATTACTTTTCATTGAGCTCATGCCCATTTGCTACCTTTGATCTACATCTCTTCCACCATTTTGCTTCTGCTCTTCCCCACTCATTAATGTCCATCTAACCTGGGCTGAATATCTAAGCTATATGTTGTTAGCTTTTTTCTCCAGTGGGATATTACTTCCATTTCTAACTTTTTATCACATTTAGATATAAATTGTTTTCTTTTTATCCTCATTTATTGGGATACAAAAAGCAATAACTTTTGTTTTCAATGAAAAAGGAAATGAGAAAGATATTTGGTGTCTTACATGCTATGTAAACAATGGTACACCTAATTTACTTTATCATATTTAGATATTATTATTGACCTTAGGTAACAGATGGCTTTTTTAAATGTCATAAGAATGAGCTAGAATTGGGATGACCCCAGCTTCTTTGGGAAACCTGAACATTAATGCAAAAATTGTTTTGAAAAATCAAATTGATGTTTTCTCAATTGTGTATTTTCATTGGGGATGATATTGCTCCTAAGGGTACAAACCTTAGTTCTTGCAGTGTGAACAAATTGTAAATAGTACATTCATTTATGGCCCCTGAATGCTGAACTCCAACAAAACCTTATCCTTTAGTATTCATTTTTTTTCACTTGGCTTTCTTGTGTATCACAGGAAAATCATTGATACTGAGTTCATGGAATATAAACAAAATGTATGTGAGATCAGTGCTACAAACCAATGTAAAATAGATGGTTGTCATTGGTGGACTTTCTCTCCACTATGTGCTTTAGCACATACCATGTGATGTGGTCTCCAATGGCATATGAATAGGCTGCCACTGGCTGTCTGGGTATGTAGCTTATGTTTGATCCTCAGTACTTTCAAGTGTATTATATACTTTTATACAAATGCTTTGTATTTTATTGTTATATTGTATAAAAGTTTTTCAAACATCAGTACTTACAGCAAGTGCTGAAAAAGAAGTGTTGACTATACCTGGATGAAAATTTAGCAGTTAGTGAAGGTAAAAATTATTTTCTATATGAAGCAAAACTAAACGTTAAGGAAAATAAATATTACAGAAATAATTTAATTTTAAATAGCCTCTGAGCAGTTTTTCAAGATTTTTAAGTATTTTTATTATATTGATATTACATATTTTATATAAGCATTTTTACTAGATTGGTATTTTTTTATGTATTATAACTTTACATGTTTCAGTTGATTCATTAATATTTATATAAGTACACTAGAAGTCACTCAGTAAATAATTTTCATAAAGTTCAATGTCAATAGCTTTTAAATTTAACTTTTAGCATAAAATTTTTCTTATTATTAATGCTGCATTGCATAAAGAAGTAAACTATCCACTTCGTTTTTTATGTATAAGGCATGGATAGAAATACAGCACATCCATATATACATATAGTATATCTGTGTTATTAAATTATCAGGAGGGGTTTACATGGAAAAAAAAATTATCAAACAAGACTCTGGAGGTTGAGAAAGGGAACACAGTAATGAAAAGGAAACTGGTTGAGAAGCACTTCCCCAAGGCGATATAGAAAGTGCATAAAGGGAAGCAAAAAAAAAAAAGTAGAAAAAAATGCGGTTGCGTTCAGAAAATGGAAATTAGTATGTTCCCTATATAAGGCTGTATACAAACCAAAGTCTTCAGAGATCCCAGAGCCGGAGGTTAAGAGTCATTCATCTGAACCAGCTCAGCAGCATCTACAACATCTATGATGATCTTGCCCTTGCATTTACTGGTGGCCCTTGTGGTGCTCAGCTACAAGTTATTCAGCTCTCTGGGCTGTGATCTGCCTCAGAACCACAACCTGGGTAACAGGAGGGCCTTGGTGTTCCTGGCACAAATGAGAAGAATCTCTCCTTTCTCCTGCCTGAAGGACAGACATGACTTTGGATTCCCCCAAAAGGAGTTTGATGGCAGCCAGCTCCAGAAGACTCAAGCCATTTTTGTCCTCCATGAGATGATCCAGCAGACCTTCAACCTCTTCAGCACAAAGGACTCATCTGCTGCTTGGGATGAGACCCTCCTAGAAAAATTCTACACTGAACTTTACCAGCAGCTGAATGATCTGGAAGCCTGTGTGATGCAGAAGGTAGGGGTGACAGAGACTCCCCTGATATATGAGGACTCCATTCTGGCTGTGAGGAAATACTTCCAAAGATTCACTGTATATCTGACAGAGAAGAAACACAGCCCTTGTGCCTGGGAGGTTGTCAGAGCAGAAATCATGAGATCCTTCCTCTTCATCAATCAACTTGCAAAAAAGATTGAGGAGTAAGGAATGAGACTTGGTGCAACATGGAAATGATTCTTACAGACTAACACAGGCGCTGACACTTCCACAAGTTGTGCCACTTCAAAGGCTCTTGTTTCTGCTATAACCGTGCCATGAGTTGACTTAAATGTGTCAAGTGTTTTCAGGAGTGTTAAACGACATCCTGTTGAGCTGTATGGGCACTAGTCCCTTACAGATGGCCATAGGGATGGATCTAGTCATCTATTTATTTAAATATCTATTTATTTCACTAGTTATATAGGTTAAATTATTTTTTCATCTATTTAAATATTTATTTCACTATTTATATAAGTTAAATTAGTTTTGTTCATATTATATCATGTGAACTTTTACATTGTGAATTGTGTGACAAATTATGTTCTTTATATTTATTATTTTGCCTTGTTTATTAAATTTTTACTATGAAATATTCTTTATTTATCCTTTAAAATTGAACTCCAACCCTGGTTGTAAAAACTGATTAAAGAATGGATGGTACAATTCCTTTATCCATCCTTATTACATTCAAAGTATAAGTAAAAATTAACTTTGTCTAAATTTGGTTGTATGTTGCCCTCAAGATAGCTAGGTGAACATAACAAATACAATTCCTGCTCTCTCGTATCTTTGGTTTTTGTAGGGAAAGAAACATAAAAACATTAATCATACTTAATATCAGCTATGTCAAATGCAATAATGAAAAGGAAGAACCAATGAATTTATCTCCCCACAAGGTAGACCAAGTCATGTGAGGAAATAAAAATAAACCCAGAAATATCCTCTACATGCTGACTGGCTGACATCTAAGCATAAATGTGCACTGCCAGTTGGATATAAGAGTTTGTGATGTATAAGGGATGCAATTGCTGGAGGTTCATATGTGGTAACTGAAAGCCCAGAAATGAAGGAGCTCGTGTGGGGAGGGAGAAAATGGCTTAAACATGATTCTGAGGACCTCCCACAGTTAAGAAAGGAAAGAGAAGAACCACAAAGGAAACAGATGGAAAGGCCACATATTAGGACAACAGGTGAAAATACTAGGGGAAAATGTTGATTTAAGAAAATTAATGTTCTGAAAAGAGGAATCAGTAGATTCACAGAAGGTGTAAGTTGAAACTGTCCACTCCCTTGGGAAAATGGATGGCACTGGCAACCTTATGAGAGTTGTTATGGTAAAAAAAAAAAGTCAGAAAAAACCGTACTGTAGCAGATAGAAGTATAAATAAGAGAAGTTAGTGACTCTGAAGGGGACAAAAAAATAGACTGTAATGAGGAAAAGAATGTGAATTACATTTTCAGGGCATAGTATTTCCTTTTTTCAATATATTTTTCTGCACAGATTTCATGTAACTGATGTACAAGCAAACCATATTAATATATGTAATATATTTATTTTTAATCATGATACATGATATACATTAACAATGTATTATTGTTTTAATTGATACTACTTTGAATATTAGTAAGCCACCTAGCTTATGTTAATTTGCTAGGGAGTAATAGACACTAATTCAATCCTTCACCAAAATAATTAATGATGATAATATATTGACACCTGGAAGTACTGGCCTTATAAGTTGTTACTTAACTTGCATTGTTGTCATACTGGTTTACTACAGTTTTGCTGCAGCTTTATAATCCATCTTAATTTTTTAGTGCTAGATAGGACAAGAATTCTTTGTTTTAGGTGAGAAAATCCTGACACCTTGCTTTATTTCATTAACTTGCCATCAGAGTCTCTGTACCTATATCCTGTTTCATACGAAAAAGTTAGAAATTTGTGTACATTTAAAAATAACCACTATTTTAAAAATTGAACTATTTCTTATGAGCATACAATTATACACCAAGAATTCTCTTACTTATATAAAATTTAATATCACTGTCAGTTCTTCATTCCATCAAGATTTTATTAGCGTTTGTAATATGACATTTTTCATTGGATTTCTGCCTTTATTATTTTAAAATTTATTGAAAACTTCTTTCTACCATGTACATCAGCTATATCTTTTATCCTAAATATAATTACTACAGAAAATATTAATTTCAAAGTTTATTTGCTTTAAAAGTTTGCTAACCTTATTTTCCTCTATATCACATTGGTGGTTCTAATAGGGAAAGGTATGCCAAGAAATCTTGTTTTGTTTTACATTATTATTATTATTGTACTTTAGGTTCTGGGGTACATATGCAGATCATGTAGGGTTGTTGCATAGGTGCATATATAACCAGGTGGTTTGCTGCCTTCATTCCCCCTACATCTATATCTGGCATTTCTCCTCATGTTATCCCTCCCCACCCTCCCCACCCCCTGCTGTCCCTTCCCTAGCACCCCAATCAACTGCCACCAGTGTGTGATGCTCCTCTCCCTGAGTCCATGTGTTCTCATTGTTCAACACCTGCCTATGAGTGAGAACATGTGGTTTTTGTTTTTCTGTTCTTGGGTCAGTTTGCTGAGAATGATGGTTTCCAGATTCATCCAAGTCCCTACAAAGGACACGAACTCATCATTTTTTATGGCTGTGTAGTATTCCATATGTGACACATTTTCTTTGTCCAGTCTATCATCGATGGGCGTTTGGGTTGGTTCCAGGTCTTTGTTATTGTATACAGTGCCGCAGTAAACATACGTGTGCATGTGTCTTTATAATAGAATGATTTATAATCCCTTGGGATTATACCCAGTAATGTGATTGCTGGTTCAAATGAAATTTGTCTTTCTGGATCCTTGAGGAATTGCCACACTGTCTTCCACAATGGTTGAACTAATTTGCACTCCCACCAACAGTATAAGAGTGTTCCTATTTCTCCACATCCTCTCCAGCATCTGTTGTCTCTAGATTTTTTAATGATCGCCATTCTAACTGGTGTGAGGTGATACCTCAATGTGATTTTGATTTGCGTTCCTCTAATGACAAGTGATGATGAGCATTGTTTCATATGTTTGTTGGCCTCATATATGTCTTCTTTTGAGAAGTGTCTGTTCATATCCTTCGCCCACTTTTAAATGGGTTTGTTTGATTTTTCTTGTAAATCTGTTTTAGTTCTTTGTAAATTCTGGATATCAGCCCTTTGTCAGATGGGTAGATTGCAAAACTTTTTTCAACACCAAAATCAATGGCAACAAAAGCCAAGATAGACAAATGGGATCTAATTAAACTTCAGAGCTTCTATACAGCAAAAGAAATAACCATTAGAGTGAACCGGCAACCAACAGAATGTTTTACATTATTAATGTATTCTTCCTAATTAAATTTGTATTTCATCTAGTATGTAGAACATTAATTTCATGAAAACCACAGTTTCCTCAGGATGCACAAATAACTAAATTGCAATAAATGTAATATTTAGGGAAAGTTTTCTTATAAGACAGAAGAGTAAAACTGGATCAATTAAGTTTTATCCACTATCAGGTAAAAAATAGGTAAAAGCTGGTCCCTCAAAAAATACAATAGCATGCAACAATTAAAAGAAGACCATGGAGCAAGACATCTGTTTAATTTTGGAATCCAAGCTTTTTAAAAAACTCAATAGTAATCTAACATATGAAACTTTTAATATTGCCCATAATACGTAATATAGAATCCTACATTAGATTCTGACAGCAATTCTGTGTGATCTAAGGAAATTCACCTAATTTCTCTGAACCTTAGTCTTTTTAGGTAAATATAGGGTAGAAAATATTTATAGTTGTGAATGTTAAACAAACATTTAAAAACACTTAAAAGTATTTCTCATTGGAAGCTTAAAATACAGTTAATCATTTTATTATCTTGGCACACATATAAATATCAGAGTAGAGAACTAACTCTCCCCCACCCCTCAGTAACTACCTACAAAAATATGAGTCTAAAAAATGCCATTCTGGGCAGTGTTCCAGAGAACACTGAAAAATAGTCACCCTTAAGATGGGAGAAAAATCTGGTTTATATATTCAATCAGGAAAATGCAGCTTGTAGAAATATCTGGAAGAGAAGTTAGTCACCTAAGCTGAAGTGAAATTGACCTGTATGTAGTACTAATTTTTCAGTTCTGATATCTGACATACTTCCGTCCTCCCCCTGCCCCATTTTTCTGGATCCCATTTTTCACTCCCATATCATTTAGTTTCCTTTGTCTTCCTTTAGAAATCTCTACTGTGCGCTCTTCCTCACTCCTCATTAACCTTCTCTGCCTCTTCATACAGCTGGTTTCTGCTCCCTTGCAGGTTTTGTTCATCAGTTTCCCTTTAAGGGTACAAAGCCAGCAATTACAGGTAAAAGGTGAGTGTAAGTTTTAGTTTTTCCAGAAACCTGTATATAAGAAGCTCTTTTTGTTTTCTTTTGTTGAATACTTCTGAAAACAAGGGAATGCCCCTGTTACAGTGATATAACAGTAGCTGTAGGAAAAAGGGGAAAAATGGAAGATTTTACTTGGGGCCTACTACAACATTAACAGGGGCAGGCAGCCACCTACTGGCCATGATGGCCCAAGATAGCAGCCAGGTTTGTTGGGAGCAGGCAGTTCTATTTATGCAGAAGTGCGTCCCTGGCAGGAGAATTTTCTTCCTAGGTAAAAAGGGCTCTTTCTCAGAAAGAACTCTTCAGGGAAGCAGGCCACTTTTTGGCCCAGGGCAGATCCATAAATGCTGTTCAAGAGCCAAGTCCTGAAATCAGGAGCCCCAAGAGCACAGTTGGTGTTCCATGCCCTGTTGGCAACCTGGTACCTAAGGTTTAAGGCAAAATCCCTTCACTTTTCTGTCTGCTTAAGCTGGGAATGTGCTGGTTCTCATTTGAAGCCAGCATGTCTCAGAGTGTCATCAAGGTCTGTGGTGTACTACCTGGATATTGCTGCTGCTTCCACAGAGCACAAGGGTTCTTTAGGAAGTAGATAATGAATCCTCCCTGAACTGGGTCCTTCTGTTGAAGGCAGTAGGCTATCTTCTGGCCCAGGTTGTGCCTAGAAATGTTATCTGGGAACTAGGGTCTGGAATGGGTGACTGATGACCCTGAATGGTACCCTATCCACTGTGGCTGAACTGGTATCCAAGATGCAAGATGAAGTC